CCAGGCTGGTCTTGAACTCCTGACCTCAAGTGATCCATCTTTCTTGGCCTCCCAAAGTGATGAGATTACAGGCATGAGCCATGGCATCCAGCCTTGTGTTATAATTAAGGATTTTATAATTCAGCAAAATGGTTGGGAAATGCTACTTAAATGAGATGTGTAAGCTGCTATCTGAATATGAGGTAAAAGGAAATTCTACCCTTAATCACTGTGCTAAATTACTTGCAAAGATGGCCACAACAATTCCCTCTATCCTTATATATATGCCCCTCTGCAATGTGAATTTGCAACTTGTCTATTAAGATGTGGAGTTTATTTTCCCATATATTGCACTGGAGTTGGCCTTGTAACTTGCTTTGACAATAGAGTATAGCACAAATGACACTGTACAATTTTGGATTTTAGGTTTCGAGAGACCTTACAGCTTCGACTCACACCCTCTTAGAAAACAGATGCAATGTAAATAAATCGGGGCTATCCTACTAGAGACATATGTCCCAGCTCATAGCCACAACCAACCTCTGAACACATGAGTGAGGCTAGCTAGGCCATACAGCCATTCAGTTAAGCCATCAGATGACTGCATCCACATGAATGATCCACAGGCAAGGCCATCAGAAGAACCATCCAGCTGAATTTACCCCAAACTGCTGAATCACAAAGTTGTGAGTAAGTAAACGTCTGTTATCTTAAACCAGTGAGTTTTGGAGTGGCATATTACATAGAACCAGATATCTAATACAATCATCATTTTGAATGGTTTTTCAAAGTATTCATATTTATTAAATGAGTACCGTAAGTTTACAATCTTTATCAAGAGGTGATGAAGTGTTTAAATAAGCATAATGCAGGGCAATATAATATAAGAGCCATAGAGTAACATAACCATATTGTCATAACCACTGAAAATCAAGATCATTTCTGCTGGAGGTGATAATGGAAGATTTCATTAAGAATATAACATTAGAGCCGGGCACGGTGGCTCACACCTGTAATCCCAGTACTTTGGGAGGCCGAGGTGGGTGGATCATGAGGTCAGGAGATAGAGACAATCCTGGCTAACACAGTGAAACCCTGTCTCCACTAAAAATACAAAAAAATTGGCCAGGTGCGGTGGCTCACGCCTGGAATCCCTGCACTTTAGGAGGCCGAGGCGGGTGGATCACGAGGTCAAGAGATCGAGACCATCCTGGTCAACATGGTGAAACCCCGTCTCTACTAAAAATACAAAAAATTAGCTAGGCGTGGTGGTGCGTGCCTGTAATCCCAGCTACTCAGGAGGCTGAGGCAAGAGAATTGCCTGAACCCAGGAGGCAGAGGTTGCGGCGAGATGAGATCGTGCCATTGCACTCCAGCCTGGGCAACAAGAGCGAAACTCCGTCTCAAAAAAAAAAAAAATTAGCTGGGCATGGTGGTGCGTGCCTGTAGTCCCAGCCACTCGGGTGGCTGAGGCAGGAGAATCACTTGAATCCAGGAGGCGGAGGGTGCAGTGAGCCGAGTTCATGCCACGGCACTCCAGCCTGGGTAACAGAGCAAGACTCCGTCTCAAAGAAAAAAAAAGAGGGCCGGGCGCGGTGGCTCACGCCTGTAATTCCAGCACTTTAGGAGGCCGAGGCGGGTGGATCACAAGGTCAAGAGATCGAGACCATCCTGGTCAACGAGGTGAAACCCCCGTCTCTACTAAAAATTAAAAAAAAAAAAAAAAAAAAATTAGCTGCGCATGGTGGTGCGCGCCTGTAGTCCCAGCTACCCGAGGCTGAGGCAGGAGAATTGCCTGAACCCAGGAGGCGGAGGTTGCCGTGAGCCGAGATCGCGCCATTGCACTCCAGCCTGAGTAACAAGAGCGAAACTCCGTCTCAAAACAAACAAAAAGAAATACATAAATATGGCTGGGCGCGGTGGCTCACACCTGTAATCCTAGCATTTTGGGAGGCCGAGGTGGTTGGGTCAGGAGTTCAAGACCAGCCTGGCCATCATGGTGAAACTGCATCTTTAAAAAAAATAAAAAAATAAAAAGAATTAAAAAAAAAAAAGAAATACATAAATACACTGCAAACCTAAATGAGACACAAGAATGAGTAACATAAAATTTAGGATAGTGGCTTCCTCTAGAGGGAGTGACAAGACTTTGAGATTAGGGAGGAGTTCACAGAGTGCTTCAAGGAGTTGGTTACATTCATTTTTCTTTTTTCTTTTTTTGAGACAGAGTGTCATTCTCTTTGTCACCCAGGCTGGAATGCCATGGCATGATCTTGGCTCACCGCAACCTCCACGTCCTGAGTTCAAGCGATTCTCCTGCCTCAGCCTCCCGGGTAGCTGGGACTACAAATGCCTACCACCACGCCTGGCTAATTTTTGTATTTTTAGTAGAGATGAGGTTTCACCATATTGGCTAGGCTGGTCTTGAACTCCTGACATTGTGATCCACCTGCCTCGACCTCCCAAACATTCATTTTTCTTAAACAAAATGCTGCTTATTGTTTTTCTTAAATTGCATATTTAAGTAATATAGTTTTTGTTTACATGATATATGTATACACGTAATAGAGTATACAGTATAAGTCAAGTTTTTTGGTGGGAGTTCAGCAATTGAATCAGATTTTTTTTTTTTTTTTGAGACAGAGTTTTGCTCTTGTTGCCCAGGCTGGAGTGCAATGGCACAATCTTGGCTCACTGCAACTTCTGCCTCCTCGGTTCAACCAATTCTCCTGCCTCAGGCTCTTGAGTAGCTGGAATTACAGGTGCCCAGTACAACACCCGGCTAAGTTTTCTTGTATTTTTGGTAGAGATGGGGTTTCACCATGTTGGCCAGGTCGGTCTCGAAATCCAGACCACAGGTGATTTGATCACCTCGGCCTCCCAAAGTACTGGAATTACAGGCATAAGCCACCATACCTGGCCTAACTTTTGTATTTTTAGTATAGGGGTTTTGCCATGTTGGCCAGGCTGGTCTCGAATTCCTGACTTCAGGTGATCCACTCACCTTGGCTACCAAAGTGCTGGGATTACAGGTGTCAGCCACCGCACCCAGCAGAAAGAGGATATTTCAGAATGAGGAACTAGCATAAGCACAGAGAAGGGGGAGCAATAAGAGGGAAACAGGGAGTAGGTGATTTTTGCAATAGCCTGCAATATTTGTAGGGCATTATTGGTGGGAAATAATTAAGTAAAGTTGGCTGTGGCTCATGCCCGTAATCTCAGCACTTTGGGAGGCCAAGGCGGGCAGATTGCTTGAGTCCAGGAATTCGAGGCCAGCCTGGGGAACATAGCAAGACCCTGTCTCAACAAAAAAGTAAAAAAGTAGCTGCGTGGCTACTTAACCCCAAGACTCTGGACAGAAAAAAAAACCCAAAAAAGAATAAAGAATAAAAAAAGAGAGAAAAGGAAAAAAAAAGTAGCTTCAGGTGCGATGGGGTGGCTCACGTCTGTAACCCCACCACTGTGGAAGGCCGAGGCAAGTGGATTGCTTAAGCCCAGGAGTTGGAGACCAGCCTGGGCAACATGGTGAAACCCTTGCTCTACAAAGAATCAAAAAGGAAGTTGAGTGTAGTAGTGTGTGCCTGTGGTCCCAGCTACTCAGGAGGCTGAGGGGGAAGGACCACCTGAGTCAGGAAGGTGTAGGTTGCAGTGAGCCACGTTGTTTGTGCCACTGCACTCCAGCCTGAGTGATAGAGTGAGACTCTGTCTCAAAAAATAAAAAATAAAGCTGTGGCAGAATGTGGAGATTCTTGGAAGCTAGAAGCTCTCATGGGGCATTTGTAAACCTCACACTACAAATAAGTCTTTGTATCAGTTAGGCTTCCTTAGTTTTAGGAAACAAGAAATAATTATAGCTAACTCAAGTGAAAAGAGAAAGAGAAGAGAAAAAAGATGTGGAGACAGAGAGAGAGGAAAAGACAAAAGGAAGGAAGAGGAAAAGAAGAGACGAAGAGAGAAATAGATTGATTAGTGTATTGGATAGGTTACATAACCAAGTGACCAGTCAGGAACCCAGCAGCTCTGGGGTGCTCAATGTGATGCATTGATCAACCCGCTCTTAAGAGCACTCAATTCCAACTACCTTTTATTCAGTGTGTCTCCAGCTAAGATTCTAAGTCCCCAGAGAGTCTGACTGACCTAGTGTTTGTTTCCACCTTTGTGGCCTGGGTTCTGTGCTTGCAGCTCATTAGAATACAGGGAGCAAAGACAAGCAGGTAGTTTCCCAAAGGAAGGGATGCTGAGTACATTAAAAAAAAAAAAAAAAAAAGTATGGATTTTTCAGTAAACTATGGGATGGTTACTACGTAAAATCTAAGATTTCCCTTATTCAAATAAAGTACCTTTCAGATTAGACATCTAAACACGCACTAATTTAGTTAAACCCCTGGGTTCGTTGATCTGATCACATGGAGCTAACATTTTCGTTGTTGTTGTTTGCAGTAATCTGAAATTTCTCTCTTCACAATTGCTTTCCTCTCGAATAATTCCTAATTCTAAATTTTTTATTTTATTTTATTTTTTTCTGGAGACGGAGTCTCGTTGTGTCGCCCAGGCTGGAGTGCAGTGGCGCGATATCAGCTAACTTGCAGCCTCTACCTCCCGAGTTCAAGCTATTCTCCTGCCTCAGTCTCCCAAGTAGCTGAGACTACAGGAGCGAGCCCTCCATCACCTCTGGCTAATTTAATTCCCAGATTGATACCCATTGCTTCTGAGATGGGTCAATTATCATTCGGAGAAGACTTAGGTCGACTGGTAGAAAAAGATGAAAGAAATGTAAGAAAACGATGACATTGAGAAAGGAGCCCTGCGAACCAGCAGAGCGACCCCAAGCTGCAATTCCCCCTTCGGTGGATCGATTACCAAGGCTTCCTGGCAGTACCTCTTCGGGGCTGCTGACGTGAGCTGAACTGCACATTGGGAATTGTAGTCGAGCAGGGAAGGAGGAGGGGCCGGCACCGCACACGCGTACAGGAGCCCAGGTCAACAAAGACGCGCCGTGCGCGCGCGCGCCGGAGAAAAACACGGGAAGACGGACGTGCGCGTGCGCGGCCGCCGCTGGGAGCCACCAAGCGGCAGAGAGGACAGCGGCAAGGAGGGAGGGGCCCAATCCACCGACTGCAGGAGGAAGAAGGGGTTGTGCTCCTGGCCGAGGAAGGAGAAAGGGGCGGGGCCGGCGGGCAGCGCGCGGCGGTGCGGAGCGCCGGAGGCCGGCGGACAGGCGGGGGTCTGTGGCCCTAGCCGTCGCAGTGGCCGCTGCTGTCGCTTGGTTGGTTCCCGTTGGTCTGCGGGAGGCGGGTTATGGCGGCGGCGGCAGTGAGAGCTGTGAATGAATTCTCCGGGTGGACGAGGAAAGAAGAAAGGCTCCGGCAGCGCCTGCAGCCCGGTGCCTCCCAGGCCTCCGCCCCCCTGCCTGGCCCCCGCCCCTCCCGCCGCCGGGCGGGCCTGTTCGCCCGAGTCGCCGCATAAGCGGAACCTGTACTACTTCTCCTACCCGCTGTTCGTAGGTTTCGCGCTGCTGCGTTTGGTCGCCTTCCACCTGGGGCTCCTCTTCCTGTGGCTTTGCCAGCGCTTCTCCCGCGCCCTCATGGCAGCCAAGAGGAGCTCCGGGGCCGCGCCAGCACCGGCGTCGGCCTCGCCCCCGGCGCCGGTGCCGGGCGGAGAGGCCGAGCGCGTCCGAGTCTTCCATAAACAGGCCTTCGAGTACATCTCCATTGCCCTGCGCATCGATGAAGACGAGAAAGGTAACTAGGGGGGCTGGGGGAGGGGGCGGCGGCACAGGGAAGAAGGCAGTGGGGTCGCCGTGGGAGTACCACACCTGCGTCCCTTTCCTGTGGGAGGGGACGGTGCACCCCCGGAATTGATCTGCCCCGGGAGACCATCCCCGTAGATCAGAGCCTCATCTAGTATTCTCAGTCAAAATCTCTCCCCTTTCAGGGCGCCCTAACCATCGACTTTGTTTCAGACACCAGCCTTCCCCCACACTTCTGCATGACCCAAGTCACTGTGAGACACCCAGACGTGCTGATGACAGTGACAGTTGTCCTAGAGTGACCACACCGATCCTTTCTTAGCACTGTAAAGAGTGTGCGGCTTCCTCCGAGCCAAGGTTTCCAAAAGGTTTTGATACTGAAGAAGCAGTGCCTTGTTACAGGCTTTTAATGAAAGCAGGGTACTATAGTGTCAGAAAGAACAAATGACAGTTTTGCAAGGAATAGCTGCATATGACTGCAGTTGAATTTGCATCATTTTTATCAAGATAATCATTTTATCTGTACAATGATTCCTGAATGCTTTTCAGTGTAGTTACATTTAGCATAAAACTTTTCCCCCTGGTTTGATTTTACTTAAAGCAGTTTTCAAAGATAGCCTTTAATTTCCAAGTTGAAATATTTAATGAATGAATTGCATAAATGTAAACATATCACTTTACAATGAAACCTAAAACATATGTTTCTGAATGAAAGCAAGGATACTACATCCTTCGGGTTTTTTTTTTTTTTTATTGAGACGGGGTTTCACTGTTGTCCAGGCTGGAGTGCAATAGCGCGACCTTGGCTCACTGCAACCTCCGCCGCCCGGGTTCAAACGATTCTCCTGCCTCAGCCTCCTGAGTAGCTGGGATTACAGGCATTCGCTACCACGCCCGGCTAATTTTATAATTTTAGTAGAGACGGGGTTTCCCCGTGTTGGTCAGGGTCGTCTCCAACTCCTGATTTCAGGTGATCCACCCGCCTTGGCCTCCCAGAGTGCTGGGATTACAGGCGCACCCCGCCTCATGTTTCTTTTAAGCTAACGTTTTTTAGTATATGTGCCAGGCATTGTGCTATTAGCTTTGTATGTGTTATCTTTTTTCTTTTTTTAAAAAAAATAGCAACTATCCCAGACCATGAAAAGTGTTATTTAATCCTCACAATAACGCTGTGAGATGAAGGTATTATTGGTATCAGCATTTTAGAGGTGAAGAAAATGAGGCTCAAAACATAAAGCAGGTCATTCCAAACCTATGCTAATAGTTAATGAAAAAATTTTTATGGAAAGTAAGTGAAATAAGAAGTCTCACTTTTACAATTCCCTCCTTTTATCCTTATTTCGAGTATGCTGAGAGCTTGCTTCTCCCTCTGCCTAAGAAACCCACTTTTCTCCCACACCTCAATTAGATGCTCACTTGCATTGTCCATTAATGAAAACAGGAGCAATCTGCACTTCATTCATAGTGTCTCTCTCTACTACCAACACCAAAAACTGTTCTAGAATTTCAATCTTGTTGAAACCTATTTTCTTTGTGGGGCCCGGGAGTGGGAAGTAGGATATAGGGAAAGAAGCATGTATTCATGGTTTTGGACAGAGGTCAAGGAGGGAGATAACTTTTAAGAATACTATGTGTTTGTGGAAAGAAAGTTTTTGTTAACTGCTCCATTCTTTTTTTTTTTTTTTTTTTCCTGAGACGCAATCTCACTCTGTCACCCAGGCTGGAGTGCAGTGGTGTGATCTCAGCTTATTGCAACCTCCGCCTCCCAGATACAAGCACTTTGCCTGCCTCAGTCTCCCGAGTAGCTGGAACCACAGGTGCACCCCACCATGGCCGGCTAATTTTTTGTATTTTTAGTAGAGACAGGGTTTCACCATGTTGGTCAGACTGGTCACAAACTCCTGACCTCAAGTGATCTGCCTGACCTCCCGAAGTGCTCAGATTACAGGTGTGAGCCACCATGTCCGGCCAGCAAGCTCCATTCTTTATCACCTCTTAGGAACATCCAGGATCCCTTGGAGAGAATGAAAATGGTTGTGATGTTTTAGAATAGAAGAGCATGTTTAAGAGTAGATCATTTTTTGGGCCCGGCAAGGTGGTTCACACCTATAATCCCACTTCAGGTGACAGATCAAGACTCTGTCTCAAAAAAAAAAAAAAAAAAAAAGAAAAGAAAAGAAAAGAAAATAGTAGATCATTTTTTGCTGAGCACCATGGCTCATGCCTGTAATTCTAACACTTTGGGAGGCTGAGGGGGTGGATCGTTTGAGCCCATGAGTTAGAGTCCAGCCTGGGCAACATAGTGAAACCCTGTCTCTATGAAAAACACAAAAATTAGCTGGGCGCAGTGGCGATGCCTTTAATTTCAGCTACTTGAGGGGCTGAAGTAGGAGGATCACTTGAGCTCTGGTTGTTCAGGATGCAGTGAGTTGAGATCACGCAATTGCACTCCCGACTGGGTGACGGGAGTGAGACCCTGTCTCTAAGATTGTTTTAGTTGTTGTATTTAGGAAGAGAATGTCAGAACATGCAAGGAAATTTTATTTATTTGTTTATTTGTTTATTTTGAGATGGAGTCTTGCTCTGTTGTCCAGGCTGGAGTGCAGTGGGATGATCTCGGCTCACCATAAGCTCTGCCTCCCTCCCAGGTTCAAGTGATTCTCCTGCCTCAGCCTCCCTAATAGCTGGGACTACAGACACGCACCATCCTGCCTGGCTAATTTTTGTATTTTTAGTGGAGACGAGTTTCCACCAAGTTGGCCAGGCTGCTCTCAATCTCCTGACCTCAAGTGAACCGCCTGCTTTAGCCTTCCAAAGTGCAGGGATTACAGGTGTGAGCCACTGTGCCCAGCCACAAGGAAATTTTAGTTAACACTGTTGGGTGACAAGAGCTGGGAAGTAGGATAAAAGGAGAGATTAAGGAAAACCTAGGTATGAAAAATAAAAGACCCTCAGCTCTTAGATTTGAAGAAATAGCAGTTCCATGTAAGGAATAAACGAAATAGAATTCAGACCTCAGGTCTCAAGCTGGTGACTTTGAGTATCACATAGATATATATGTCTATTATACTTAAATCCTCTTAAACATTTTTATTTTTCTCTGAGAACATACTTAAGCTAAAAAAATTTATTTTTCAGTTGGATACATTAAATATGTAAAAAAAATTATTTTATTTTATCTATTTTAGAGACAGGGGCTCATTCTCTTACCCAAACTGGAGTGGAAAGTTATCATAGTGATCCTCAAGTGATCAAGACTCAAGTGATCCTCTTTTTTTTTTTTTGGCTAGAGGTTGGATCTTGTTATGTTGGCCAGGCTGGAGAAACTTCAGCAATATTTTCATTGATCTGTATGCTGCATATTTCATACTCTTTCTACTGACAATGTTTCTGTTCACAACTTTTTAAAAAATTCATATTTTGATTTCTAAAGTGGACATCAGAATGGGCTATTGACAACTCATTAGTTTCATTTGAGTTCAACAACTGATGCTGTCATATGCCAAATTAAATTAGTTCAGACTGAAACAGATTAGTTACAGATTCATTTTCCTTTAAACATGAAGTAAAACTGTCCGGGTGCGGTGGCTCATGTCTATAATCCCAACACTTTGGGAGGCTGAGGCTGGCAGATCATGAGATCAGGAGATCGAGACCATCCTGGCCAACATAATGAAACCCTGTCTCTACTAAAAATACAAAAATTAGCCAGGAGTGGTGGCATGCGCCTGTAGTCCCAGCTATTCAGGAGGCTGAGGCAAGAGAATTGCTGGAATGCGGAAGAGGGAGATTGCAGTGAGCTGAGGTTGGACTCCAGCCGGGTGACAGAGGAGACTTCTTCTCAGGGAAAAAAAAAAAAAAGGTAAAACTTCAGCTGGGTGTGGTGGCAGGCACTTGTAATCTCAGCTACTCTGGAGGATGAGGCAGGAGAATTGCTTGAACCCAGGAGGTGGAGTTTGCAGTGAGCTGAGATCTTGACATTGCACTCCCGCCTGGGTAACAAGAGTGAAACTCCATCTGAAAAAAAGGCTGGGCTCAATGTCTCCAGCCAGGTGCCTTGGCTCATGCCTGTAATCACAATACTTTTGGAGGCTGGGGTGTCAGGAGTTCAGGACCAGCCTGGCCAACATATTAGTGAAACCCCGTCTCTACTGAAAGTGCAAAAATTAGTTGGGCATAGTGGCGCACGTCTGTAGTCCCAGGTACTTGGGACAGTGAGGCAGGATAATCGCTTGAACCCGGGAAGCAGAGGTTGCAGTGAACCAAGACCGCACCACTGCACTCCAGCCTAGGCAACAGAGTGAGACTCCACCTCTCAAAAAAAAAAAAAAAAGAAGTAAAACTGAGTTTATATTTTTATGGTTCTTTTCTATCTTATATTTTTTCTTTAAGAGATTGAACATTTTTGTACTTTAGCCTCTTAATCCAGTGGTTGAAAGAGAGTGCACATTTGAAGTTGGCCTCTTGGCCATCCTTGACAACACAAACCTTAGTTCTAAGAGAATTTAATTCTTCTTTCTCACTGCTTCAAAATATATATGATCAAATAGAAAGGAGTTGAACAGCAGTCTCTTCAAAGGTTTCCTAACTCTGTGGTTAACTATTAAGGGGCTGGTAATGTCATGCACTGCCATTTCCTTGACAACGTGACTTATCTTCTAATTTAACTGAAAGCCACTTTATTTGATTCAGTGAAATGGCTTATTTCAAACTGTAGTGGTGTTAATTAATTGAAATATTTGGTACCTTGAAATGATAGATGCCAAATTAAATCTCATTTTAATAGTTTGTGAGTGTGGTTTATATGGTGACTATGTTTATTCTGAGTTTTATTTAATTTTTTTGACACAGAGTCTTGCTCTGTCTCAAAGGCTCTAGTGCAGTGGTGTAATCTCGGCTCACTGCAACCTCTGCTTTCCAGATTCAAGCAGTTCTCCTGCCTTGAACTCCTGAGTAACTGGGATTACAGGCATGTGCCACCACACCTGGCTG